ATTGATGATGTCACGACCCAACCTGATCGGAACGAATCCCTTCACGTTGGGCCGCGACAAATGTTGAAAATCCAAGATCTAGTTTTGAAATTTGCTTCAGACTTTCTTTCAGATATTCAAACAAACAAAAACACAGAGCTGCTATAAACTTCAAATACATATATAGAAATGCATCCACTATTTTCTTCTTTCTTTAATCAAAATAATCATGTACAATACAGTGCATGGCTATAGACAGAAAGAACAGAATAGAAAAGTCATGACTGTACAAAAATCAAAACTACAAAAATACCCAATCACTGATCAGACACTGAACGGCTAGTCCAAGACTTCCTTCCCTTTCCCAGAACCTGAAAACCACGTAGAAAATAAGATGAGCTAACAGCTCAGAAAGACTACACTCACAAATTAAAATCTCTAGAAATTCACTTCAGAAAACACACCAGAAACAGTTATTCAAATAGTCGTACATAAATTCAAACAATCGTATAGAAATCGTATAACAGACAGAACATATACTTGAATTCAAATCAGAGTGCAGAACATATCTTATAAAACTTTCAAATCACAGAACGAATCAGATCGTACAAATCAGAATTCAATTTAGATAAAATCACATTTCAGATATCACATTTCACATATCACATATCTGATTCCCGGACCCTGACAGAATCTCAACGGATTCTGACCCCTTATGCCTCCCTTCCCTGACCCTGACAACGAAATCACAAAGGATTCCGACCCGTTATGCCTCCCTTTGTGCTTACAGCACCAGAATAGATCAGATATACATAATTTTCAGAACAGAACTTATTTTCAAATTCCCGAACCCAGACAACAGAATCACAAAGGATTCCGGCCCCTTATAACTCCCTTCTGATATCACAGCACATCAAAACATTCAAATTCAGAAATCAAATTTCGTCACAAAAATCGTCAATGGCATAACGGCAGTATACAAAATTTACACAGAATTCACAGATTCAAAAAATTACTAAATCACCACAGATTGTACCAAACATCATTCTAAGACTTTTATTATACTAAAGTAGTAATTTTAAATATCCAGATAAATTGTTATTCGATCAAAACTTCGTAGAATTCAAAATATCCGATAAAAATCTTTCAGAAAATACTCAAAACGTACACAAATATCATCTCATAAACATACCAAAAGTTACAAGGTAAAACTTTTATCAGTATAAAATAATACAAGAATTTCATTAATAGAACCAAAATTCGAAACAGAAAAGTCGTCAAAATCATCATTTCTGAAAATCGAGAAAGGCAAAATGTGCATTACCTCGAGTCGGTCAACTATCTCAACTGCAGCTACGGACAAAAACGGCCCGAAGTCGCCCAAAAATTACTTTTTCTTCTTTTTCCTTCAGTTTTCTCTCTTATATGCTTTTCTCTCTCTTCAAAAGATCTCAATCCCATATATATCCAACCAGATCGTCCTGGACGATCCAAAATCGTCCTGGGATGATTTGGCCACTGGACGAATTTCGTTCAGACGAAATAGTTATCATTCCCAGACGAGTTGCTCTCTAAAAAAATTTCGTACGGACGAACCTCATTTCGTCATGGGACGAACTTCTCTATCCCCAAAACCTGTACTAACTTGTACCGATCGTCGCCGGACGATCCAACTTTGTCCTGGACGATCCTGGAAGGAAAAACAGCTTTCACAATCTCCCCAACTTCAAAAAAATATCGTCCTCGACATTTCCAAAATAAAACTGAGTCAGAACAGATGCGGATATAAGTGTATCATATCCGACTCCTTCTCCCAAGTAGCTTCTCGTGCTGTTCTATGCTTCCACTGAACTTTAACCATTGGAATCTGTTTATTTCTTAAATTACGAACGTCATAAGCTAAAATCTTTTCAGTCTCTTTCTTGTACTGTAGATTCTTCTAAATCTCCACATCATCAGCAGATAATTTTTTTCCAGAATCAAATATCCACTTTCTCAAAAAAAAATATGTGAAAAACATTATGTATATCGGACATTTAATCAAGCAATAACAATCTATAAGCAGACTTTCCAATCCTTTCAATAATTTTAAAAGGTTCGACATACCTTAGACTGAGCTTACTTACTCTTCCAAATCTGTTGACGCCTTTCATCGGACTGACTTTGACATATACAAAGTCACCAATTTGATATTCAACAAACATGTGCTTCTGATTGTAATACTTCTGTTATCGATCTTGTGCAGCTTTTAATCTTTCTTTAATCAGATTGATTTTCAAAACAGTTTCATCCACAAAAGTTGAACCCATTTCTTGTCTATCTCTCACTTTAGTCAGAGTCAAAGAAGTTCTAGACTTTCGGCCATATAAAGCTTCGTAGGGTGCCATACCAATACTTGATTGATAACTATTATTATAAGCAAATTCCATCAGTGGGATATGATCTTCCCAACTGCCTCCAAAATCCAAAACACATAATCTCAGAAGATCTTCCAATACCTGAATAGTCCTTTCAGACTGTCCATCAGTCTGAGGATGAAAAGCAGTACTGAAATGCAACTTCGTACACAATCATTGCTGAATACCCTTCCAAAGTCTGGAAGTAAATCATCCATCTCGATCAGATATAATCACTTTTGGCACACCGTGCAGTCTGACAATTTCTTTCACATATACCTGAGCTAACATATCCACCAAATCCGTCTACCTGATTGGAAGAAAATGTGCAGACTTCGTCAATCGATCGACAATCACCCAAATTGTATCATGTCCTTGACTTGATTGAGGAAAACCCATAGCAAAATCCATCGTTACCTCCTCCCATTTTCACTTAGGGATAGGCAACGACTGCAAAAGATCTCCTGGTCACTGATGCTCTGCATTCACCAACTGACAGGCTTCATATTTTGAAATAAACTCCGCTATATCCTTTTTCATTCCAGGCCACCAGAATAACCTTTTCATATCTCCATACATCTTATCACTTCCTAGATGAATTGTATAGCTTGAATAGTGAGATTCATGCAAAATCTCTTTCCTTAGATCTCCAAACATAGGAATCCACAGTCTGTTCTTATAGAAAATAATATCAGAATCAGAAATTGGTAGTTCAGGTTTCTTACCAGATTCAATCTAAACAATCAACTTTGAATAGTCAGCGTCTGACTTCTGAGCTTCTTGAATCATTTCTTTCAAAGATGACTGAATGTTCATCTAAGTCAACATACCAGAATCCAGACTAGTAGAGGAAATCACCTCCAACTGTAATCTTTCTATATCTCGTATCAAATACTCATCAGAAGTAAGGTGAATTCATGATAATCTAGAAGACTTCATGCTCAGAGCGTGTGCTATCACATTAGCCTTATCCGGCTTATACTGAATCGTCAGATCATAGTCCTTGATCAACTCAAGCTATCTTCTTTGCCTCAAATTCAAATCCTTCTAAGTGAAGATATACTTCAAACTCTTATGATATGTAAAGATCTCACACCCGACGCCATACAAATAGTGACGCCAAATCTTCCAAGCAAAGACAACTACAGCCAACTCCAAATCATGCGTTGGGTAATTCTTTTCATGTGGTTTCAACTGTCTTGAAGCATAAGTAATTACCTGACCATGCTGCATCAGAATATAGCCAAAACCTTTCAGTGAAGCATCATTGAACACCTAAAATTCTTCCGTACCTGACGGAAGTGCTAACACTAGAGCAAAAGTTAAACAATCCTTCAACTTCTAAAAAGTAGCTACACAATTCGGAGTCCAAACAAAAACTACTGACTTCTGAGTCAGTCTCGCCAGAGGTGTAGAAATCTAAGAAAATCCCTTCACAAACTTCCTATAATATCCGGCCATACCCAAGAAACTACGTATCTCGAATACCGTAGTAGGCCTTGGTCAATTAGCAACAGCTTGAATTTTCTGAGGATCAATAGAAATACCTTCGCCGCTCACCACGTGACCCAGAAAAGAAATGCTCTTCAGCCAGAATTCGCACTTGGAGAATTTAGCATACAATTGATGCTGCCTCAAAGTCTCCAACACACCTTCAATTGTCTGGCATGATCTTCCTCAAAAGCAGAATATACCAGAATATCGTCTATAAAGATGATCACAAACTGATCCAAATACTCCTTGAACACTCTGTTCATCAGATCCATAAAAAAAGCAGATGCATTGGTTACCCCAAATGGCATAACCAATAACTCGTAATGCCCGTATCGAGTACTGAAAGCTGTCATCATCATATCAGCTTCCTTTACCTTCACTTGATAGTATCTAGATATCAAATCAATCTTTGAGAATACAGAAGATCCAGCCAGCTGATCAAACAAATCATCAATTCGTGGTAACAGATACTTATTCTTGATTGTAACCTTATTCAGATCTTTGTAGTCGATGCACATCCGCAGTGTCCCATCCTTCTTCTTCACAAAAAAAATAGGTGCTCCCCAAGGAGAAACACTAGGACGGACAAATCCTCTATTCACCAACTCTTGGAGCTGAACTTTCAACTTCGAATGTTCCTTCGGTGCCATTCTGTACAGAGCCTTAGATATCGGAGCCGTACCCAGAAAAACATCAATACAGAACTTAACATCTCTATTCGGAGGTAATCCAACCAATTCCTCAGAAAATACATCTGAAAACTCTAGTACAACCGGGATATCAGAAACAGAACCCGCATCTACATTCATATCCCGTACTGAAGCCAAAAATACCGAAAAACCCTTCTTCCACATTCTCCTAACTTCCAACACAGAAATCAGACAAGATAAAACTCTTCTTAACCCTTGGAATACACATCTTTCACCATCCAAAAATAAACTCACTTGTTTATTCAAACAGTCAATCTGAGCCTCATACAGACTCAGCCAATCAATGCCCAAAATCACATCATACGAAGAAATCGGCAATAAAATCAAACACGACTTCCACTTCTTGCCAGAAATATCAATTTCACAAAAATAGAACTTCCGGGCAATCAAATTATTCCTAGCCGAAAAAAAAAACAGAAAGCTAAATCAGTAACGTCACAGAATCCAGACGCAAAGCATCAAAATAAAGCTCGAAAATAAACGAGTGACTAGCTCCAGAATCAAACAAAACACGACAGAGATGTTCAGAAATAAAAATCGTACATGTTACCACATCTGGAGTATCTCGAGCCTTTTGCTGATTCAAACTATATACACGTGGTTGAATTGGAGCTGGAGCTGCAGAACTACCAGACTCCCTCTGACTACCACTTGGTGGTCTCCTCGCCATAAAATCTGATCCACCAGCTCTACCAAAGAATCCCTCAGAAATAGTATGTGGAGGAACTGTCGTCGACCTTCCTACTGATCTGGCAAAACTATCATATCTTGACTCAGATCGTCGATCAGATCCAGCCTGTAGACACTCAGTAATCTGATGTCCTGGATGACCACATCTGAAACACTGACCAGTCATCCTGTAGCACTGGCCATAATGTCTTCTTCCATAAGTCTGGCACACAGGCGCCCCACTGACTGATCCAGAACTAGTCACACTGCCACTACCAGAAACTATAGTGGACACAAACTGTCCACTCCTCTTGGGGTCTCTAGATACAAATCTCTTCTTTTTAAAAAACCCACTGCCAGAAGTATCACCACTGAATCTCTTCCTACTAGTAGTTCACTGCTGCTGAGTAGCCATCAGATCATTCTCTATCAGTCGAGCTCTCTCAACAAGTTTAGAGAAATAAAAAATGTGAAATGGTACCAGGGGCTACCTCAGACTATCTCGTAGTCCCCTCAGAAATCTATAACACTTCTCAACAGAAGTACTCACTAGCTACAAAGCATATCATGCCAGAGTAGTAAAATCTGCCTCGTACTGCATCACTGTCCTGCTCTCTTGATCCAATCGCAGAAAAGTCTCATGCATTTGCTATCTTGCAGAAGGAGGTACAAACCGCGATCGAAATACTTCAAAAAATTCCTCCCAAGTAATCAGAAAGTTCAATTTACCTTGGAATTTCTCCTCCTGCTGGCCCGTCCACCAGCGCTCTGCTTCCCCATCTAACAAAAAAATAGCTAACGGTACCTTCATATCAGAAGGACATTGCATACCGTCAAATATCTTTTCCAACATTCTTAACCAATCCTCAACTGCTCTAGTCTCAACAGTGCCCTCAAACCTAGGAGGTTTCAATTTCAGAAATATTTGTAGATGTCTATCTACATCTTTAGATCGAACAGTAGATGCCCTATTCTGAGTCTCGCTCATCATCTGAGCAACCAACATAGAAAACTGAGAAACTGTATCAGAACCAACCACTGGGGCAGTACTGTTCACAGGAGCTGCCTGACTAGCACTCTGCCCATCAGTCATATCTGGGTCTGGTAGATCCAAAATCACACAGAAAACTATGCACAAAAACAACATAATAAAAATCCAAACAAACTAGAACTACCCCCGACAGACTTACAGATCAATTCCTATAGCTCTGTCTTACAATCCAAATTCTAAAACCATTGCTCTGATACCACTAAAGATTGGTCACGACCCAACCCGACCGGAACGAATCCCTTCGCGTCGGGCCGCGATAAATGTTGAAAATTCAGGATTTAGTTTTGGAATTTGCTTCAGACTTTCTTCCAGATATTCAAACAAACAAACACAGAGCTACTATAAACGTCAAATACATATATAGAAATACATCCACTTTTTTCTTCTTTCTTTCATAAAAATAATCATGTACAATACAGTGCATGGCTACAAACAGAAAGAACAGAACAGAAAAATCATGACTGTATAAAAATCAAAAGTTCAAAAATACCCAATCACTGATCAGACACTGAACGACTAGTCCAAGACTTCTTTCTCTTTCCCAGAACCTGAAAACCGCACAGAAAATAAGGATGAGCTAACAGCTCAGCAAGACTCCACTCACTAATCAAAATCTCCAGAAATTCACTTCAGAAAACACATCAGAAGCAGTTATTCAAATAGCCGTACATAAATTCAAACAATCATACATAAATCATATAACAGAC